TTTTTTTTTTTTTTTTTTTTTTTACACCAAACAGGGCTTTGGGGTACAACCTTGACTGAAAATACAGCTGAAAACAGAGAACTTTATGTAAAGACCACCCTGCGAGAGTTGTTGGTTTATATTGTGTTCCTGGTGGACATCTGTCTATGTAAGTCCAGATATCTCAGTGGTGGTGGTGGAGAATGTCTTTGTGTGACTCTGTGTGTGTGTGTGTGTGCGCGCACACGTGCATGTGCGTGTACACATGTGCATGTGTGTATTTTAGAGGATTTATGTTTTTTACAACTTGGCTCTAACCTATGCATTAGTATCATAAACATCTACCCAGAGCACTGACTGGGCATTTGTAGAAAATAAATTAGTAAAGTATTTAAATCATATGGAGGTGGAGAGAGAAATGGCTAAAATGGAATGTTGGATTTTGGTACTAATTAGAATTTGTTACCATTTTTTTCATGCAACTTTTCTCATGAGACATTGTTTTCGGAGCAGCATAAAAGTATTTGCACGAATGAATATTTTTCAGGTTTTTCCTTTAAAAAAAAATCCTTTGGTAGAGAAAGTCCAAAATATTTTGAGGTTGAAGCTTGAGGTTTTCCCCTGAACAATCAAAAAATAATTATAGTAAATGTCAGGGGCAGGGAGTAGGGGTGGGGCGGGGAGGGAGAAAAATGTTCATAATTTACCATAGGGGAAAAAATGGGGTTTTCCTGAGTGGTTTTAGCAGTTCACTGCACACCCATCACTTCTCCCATTTAAGACTCTCAAGTCCCTTTGCAACCAATTAAGTGACCCCTTTTCAGCTCTCTGTAAAGACACTATTCCATCCACTTAATAAATGTAAACAGTTAAGGTCTGATTCTCAGAAATTCTGCACACCCACAAACTCAGCTGACTTCACTGGGAGCAGATGTTCCACCACTGAAAATCAGGCTCTAAGGCTAAAAGCAGACATTGCATTTCTCCTAGAAAACCTGGAATCCTATGCTAGAACTAGATGTCAATGAATGAAGCAGAGATCAGCCATGCTGCATTGTGTCATGGCACAGCTGATCCACTGACTAGGCAGAACACATGTCACTCCTTGATGGTGTGGGACACCCTTTTGATGGTGTGGGACAAAAGACAATGTAATCTCCCACAGCGCATTTAGAAAGACACAGAGGAGATCTTACTGCAATACAAAAAACCCTGGGAAGTGCTCCTAGAGGTCCTAGCAGTACATAGGGGTGAGTGCAACACCAGTAAGGATGTCAGAACTTGGGTAGTGTTTTGCAGTGTGACTGCTCCTGCCTGGATGAGCCTAACTTAGTGCTCAAATCCAGTGGAACTCTTAGCAAAGGGGGCACTCAGCCTTTCTCTGATCATTATAAAGTGGCTGCTGCTAAGCTCACTTGGCATCTGCTACTTTGAAATAGTGCTTCTGAAAATTTAACACAGGCTCTGGCCATTAGCTCCCGGTCACTGGTGCTTCTCCTCAGCTTGGCAGCTTGAAGTTCTGTTACATTTCTGCATGCAAACAGCTATGGTTTTCAAATGCAGCTCTCAAAACTTCCTGGAGTAGGAAATGCATTGTTCAAATGTGACACTTCTCCTTTAAATCTTGGTGAGCCATGCTCAAAGGGTGACTGGCATTATAACGTGAATGGCAGCTCACATTGTCACCCGGGCATGGATTTAATGCAGCTCTGTACCAAATACTAATGCACTTTGTGTGGGCAGAACAATTGCTGTTTGTTTTGGGAAGACTCATTGTTATCTCAAAGAAGCACCTGTGGCATTGCCTGGCTTGATGGATTATATTTCATACACCCAGTGGCAGAAGAGATACAAAGATGATACTAACCTGCGTAGTTATCACACAGAACCAGGGGAATGGAATCCCAATCGGTCTTCAGATGTGACTGAGTCACACATGTATCCTGGTCTGTACAATATTGTTTTTGAAAGTTGACTGCTTTTGCAGGAAGCCCTTTCATTAGGAGGACAGGTCAAGGCATTCATAGTGATGGATTATGTAGTGGGGGATGAACTGGGGAATGCATGTAAATTGTTTCAATCAGCACCTGCTCAGAGGTCAGGATCTTTGTTGAGTGAAAACTTATCTAAAACTGTGGCTGGGAGATCGCAGCAGCTGTGGTCTCCCAGTTACAGGGGTGCATGGGACCCCCCATGCCTGGAAGCACTGTCAGCTGGAAGCTGCTAGGCCAGGGGGTGCATATGTGCTCTCCTACCTGGAAGCTCCAATCAGGTGACAGGGCTCCCAGCAATGGGGGCCCCTGGCTACACGTTCAATTAATGATGTGATAGGGAACGGCTACAAAGTATCCCACTAAATATGTGTAATAAACTTTGTAACTTATTATTCTTTTTATCACACCATTTATTGACTGAATGAGTGCCCAGGTAACAACTTAAGGCATGATTAACTGGTATATCATGCCTTAAGTGTAATGTGTACGTGGGACCTAGATGGCAGGTGAGCTGGTTTCACTCCAGAGTGACCATGACACGCACACTGGAACAGAGCTCACAACCTTTGGCCCTGGACTGGATCCAGCCTGCAAAGAAGTTGGATCTGGCCCAGGAAGGTTCAAGCTGACCTAGGGCTGTACAGAGGATAAGGCAGCACACAGCTGTACTGAGCCACCCATCCCCTCCACAGCCCCCTCCTCATTAGCCCATCTTGATGCCGTGTCTGTTGTGTCTTGGACAAAACTCACTCTTTAGATGACAAGAGGTTTTAGGAGTGATTCGATAAAACCTGATAAATCACAAAAACTTAAAACATAGACCACCTTCCCAGCAACACCCTCCTAGTCACCATGGATGTTACCAGCTTATATATCAACATCCCACACCAGGATGGCATCCAAGCCTGCCGTATGTACCTACAAGAGCAAGATGACAGCTCAGAGTACAGACCCAAAGATATTACTGACCTTATACATTTAATCCTCACACACAACTTCACTTTCAATAACCAACACTTCCTCCAGACCATGGGCACAACTATGGGCACCAAAATGGCCCCACAGTATGCCAACCTTTTTATAAGCCACCTGGCAGAAGAATTCCTCAGGGACTGCACCATCAACCCCTTGCTATACTTCAGATATATCAATGACATCTTCATCATTTGGACTGAAAATCTGCAATCTCTGATTGAGTTCTATCAGAAATTCAACAATCATCACCCGTGCATCAGACTTTCTCTTGAATACTCCAGCACCAACATTTCCTTTTTAGACATGATGATCATTATCCAGAATAGTAAAATACAGACCACAATATACAAGAAACCCATGGACCAACATAAATAACTGCACAGAACCAGCAAACACCCTAAACACACTGAGAAAGCTGTAATATACAGCCAAGCCCTCAGATACCACCACATTTGAACTGAGAACGCCTGTGATTCTCACCTCACAAATCTCAAAAAGGGCACTCCTCAACAAGGGCACTCCTCCAGAGAGATAGATCTCACTTTTGAAAGAGCCACCCAGATACCATGTGAAGAATTGCTACAGTACAGAAGGAAGACCCCCATGAATTGCACATCGCTGGTTATGACATATCACCCTCCCTGGAATCTCAAGCAATTGCAACCCATACTAGAAGAAGACCCAATTCTTAAAGAGATCTTCCCAGAATCACCCATTTTAGCCTTCAAACAAGCACTGAACGTTGCTAACCTCATCACCAGAAGCAAACTTCGTATGGCCCAAAACACACCAAATAGATCCAGACCATGTCATGACAAGAACTGTAAAACCTGCCAGCATATCTTCACCATCCCCACAATTACAACATCCCACAATAGAACATCATCATTCCTGGATCTTACAGCTGCACCTCCAGAAATGTAATACATCTCATCCACTGTACTAAATGCCCTGATTCAAAATATGTAGGAGAAACCAAACAATAACTGAGCACCAGAATGAATGCACACCAAAATTCTATCAAAGACAAAAGTACTCAATTATGTGTGGGGGCACACTTCTCACAAGAAAACAACTCTCTCTCCTATCTCTCAGTTCTAATCCTCAAAGGGAATTTACAAAACACCTTTCACAGACGAGCCTACGAACTTCACTTCATCAACCTACTGGATACAAAAAATCATGGACTAAATACAGACATTGGATTTATGACACCTTATAACCTGCCTAATATCTGACTGCCTAGGTACCTCTCCACCTTTTACCAGCTGCATTCGTTCCCCTCTCCACCCCACAACTTTGTCTCTCACCCACTGACTCCTCAATTTACATCTTCGCTGATTGACTTTCTTGCATGAACACCAGTCCCTGGCTCCTCTACTATTCATTTCACCCAGGAAGAGCACAGACCAACTGCAGATGCATCCTTAGCCTAACGAAGGGTATTTGTACCCGAAAGCTGAAAAGAAGAATTTTTCCAACTATTTGAGTTGGTCTAATAAAAGATATCAGATTTACCCACAGAATCTTGTCTGCCTATGTCCTTAGACCAACATGGCTACAACCTGTACCCCTGAAACTCCTATATTTGAACCCAACCCTTATCCAGGTCCTGGCAGAAAGGTTTCACTTACTTTATGAAAAACATAAGTCAGTAAAAACATAAATCAGTAAAAAAAGAAAAAAAAAAAAAGTTTGTTGTCAGTAATAAGTTTGCAGAATGTTGTTGGCACTGGATTTACAACCCAGCCCTAATACCCTGCTGAAGGCGAGTACAACCTTCAGGCTAACGAGAACTCCTCCAGTTGATAATAGGAACATTTTATTGATACACAGTGATAAGAAATAAGAGCAATGCAGGCAAAGTAAGCAATATGATTACAACATACACTACCCAGATTCCCCAGTGACCAGAATATACATAAGGTTAGCAGTGTATCCAGCTGGTACATAAACATCACCTTGAAGTTCTTTGCTTGGATGTTCGATATCAGCAACCTTGGAGGTCAGGGGTCAATGCAAGCTTGTTGTTCTGAAAACTCCTTCTTTCGTATACTCTTTCTCCTTTCATGGCTTTTAATTTTTGGACATTGTTGATTGGTCTTGCTGTGGTCACCATACTGTTCATGTTTTGTTTTGTTAGCCAAAATTCTATCTTCATAAACCTATTACATGCACACACCTTAATTTGGTTATTTTATTTGGAACTGGAAATTCCAAAGGTTTTTGCAAGTAAGTACTAGAGCCAGGCCTATTTTTATAATGAAAATAAAGCTTGGATGTTTTTAATTTTTCAGGATGTGTATGTCCATTGGCCTTAGACACTATGTCTGCCTTGAAGGCTGTGAATCTGTGACAAACAGGCTTTTAGAAATCAATTAACCCTTGCCATTCTTTTAAACCATTGTTCTAATGCAATATCTACTTTACCTACAAGCCAATTCCTAAAAGCAAACCTCTAAATATAATTTTTTTAGCAATTAAATGTCATTAAAAATGCCTTGGGTCAGTAACCCTGCTAAAGCACACCTACTCCACATGCTGTACTGCCCTTAACGTGGCACTAAGTACATGCCAATATGCCCTCTGTCTCAGTCATGTTCATTATCATGTTTGTGCTGGTGCACTAAGGCTTCTACACTACATTTCAAGGCATAGCCCATTTCAAGATACACTTCAAGGCATAGCACACGTGTTGTAGGCTGGCTGCACTTCACTGCAGTGCTCCCTAAGCAAACCAGACTACCAAAAGAAATCCATCTCTTTAACATATTTCATTCTCACTTGTGAGTTCCCTGTAATTTCTGAAAAGCATTTGTTGAGGACCCTGGGGAATTCCTGAGCATCAAACTAACCTCTTTCCTTTCAAAGCAAATTGCTGGTTATGTAAATCATGTCTTCTGATCAGAAATTGCTACTGTGTGTTAATCTCGGAGCCCCAGAAATAATCCTCCCCTACTTCTTTTCTATTTTCTCCTAGTGACATATGGAATGACGAGTTCAAATGCCTATTATTACACCAAGGTCATGTCTGAGCTCTTTCTGCAGACGTCATCAAGCAGTGGAGTCTCTTTTCAGTCCATCAGTAGCATGACTGACTTCTGGGTGGTGAGTACAAACATAGGGGGCAAGGCCTTGGCCCATGAAATGGGAAACCTATAGCTCTGGTGCCAAGTAACCTGTCCCTGAACAAGCTGAGGATTGGTATGGCATTGAGTGACCTTTGCTGAGCTTTTGTCACCTCTTGCCAATAGCCACTGTAGCTGGAAATAGCTTGAAAGGTTTCAGTTGTCTTTGCCTGAAATATAGAAAGCCTATTATTATCTAGAGATTTGCTTTTCCCCTTTGTGCCCAAGTGGTTGATTATTTTCCATACCATAATCCTTGTTTCCAGACCAGGATTCTTCTGGGAACCCCTTTCCATTTACCCAGATTATAGCTGACACCAGCAGTTAGCAATATCAGAATCATGGGGAAGGGATGAACTTACCCCATGGAGTGGATTGCCAATGACTTAGAGACTTGTCCCACCTTCTCTTGCAGTATGGCCAAGGCCCACTACTGGATAGTCTTTATTGGACCAAATGGTACAATAATGAGTCACTAAAAACCCACCATACCCAGTCCTACATCTACTATGAGAATTTGCTGCTTGGTGTCCCACGTTTGCGTCAGCTGAAAGTGAAGAACAACTCATGTGTTGTTCATGATGACTTTAAAGAGGAAATTTCAGGATGTTATGATGTGTACTCTGAGGACAAGGAAGAAAGGGTCTCCTTTGGACTTCTCAATGGAACTGCGTAAGTGTGCCCCTTCCATCCAACTTCCACTGAGGTTGGACTATTTTTTAGCTTTGCTCAAACTCTGGCCAAATTTTGCTGAAATTCAATGTTAAAAAGGTGGTCCCGTGAGCAATATGTTTGGTGTAAGGTTCCTGTGTAAAGCTACAGAGTTATTGCCTTCTGATTCTCCTTGGCAGTCAGGTCCAGTGCATCCTGTGAGTGCCAACACTAGGATTAAAAAACAAAAAAAAGCCCTTGGGGTTCCTTTGATACAATGAGAAATAAGGTCAGGTGAAGAGCAGGTTCTGCTGGGGAACAATGCAGCCAAACCCAAGAAAAATCTTAGATTGAGAAACTTGTTTGCATTGCTGTTGAAGCTGAAGAAAATAAAACCCCATGGGAAAAGAACATGGGTCTCTTTCACATGTGCTCTGGCATGTTCTGATTAGTACACATCAGAGCAGACCCAATTAAAGGCGTCTACTGCAGCCTTCCAATCAGAACACTCCAACGTGCTGCAGCAACTTGTGTATTAAGTGTACCCACATTTCAAAATGGTGGCGGGGGCACTTTAACTAAAGCTTACTGAACTCCCGAGAGTCGCTCTAATTAAAATGGCAATGGCCCTCCCCCTCCGCCCCACCCCTGAGCACATGTACAGACACCCATTGTGACCAGATCCCATAGAGGTGCAAAACCACCCGCTAACCCTATGGTATCTATGGCTCAACAGAAATAAGTTTCTTAAAAACTGAAATCCTGTTCTCAGCAGAGTTTGCAAACCTAAGAGTTTTGAATCATGCAGTTAAAACCTGGGATTTTTCAGGGACTTTTCTTGGGACCTGATCCTTTTATCTGAATTCACCGAACTTGTAAAATTGCTCTGAGGCTGTAGGATTTCCTCAGTCTTGCTTCCCTTATATTAACATGATCTATGTGGTTGTTATACATTATCTAAGAATACTGAGCTATAACAGCATTAAGAGGACTCTAAGTGACCTGCCAGTGAAGGAAAATTATTGTATATTGCTTGTTAGGGTTTTCTACATAAATGCAGTGTTCTAACCTACTAAGAGCCACAGGCAAAACAAGCTAGGAAGCAATACAATGAATTCAGATAAGCAATTACAAGACAAACAGAAAAACTGTTACCTTGGGGATCTTATATCCTGTCTCCAAGAGTTTGCAAACCTGCCAAGGTTGGGAACTAATACATCAAAGGGCTAGAGACAGATAAAGACATGATTCAGGCTCAGATCTTCAAAGATACTGTAGAACTCCCTTCCTGAGTTACCTTTGAAATTCTGTGCCTTAGTCTCTGGAAAACAAATGATGAAAAGGACTAAGCCAGGGGTTAGCATTGGTTTTTGGCAAGGGGCCAGAATGACTGGGCTTGGGTTGGAGATAGGTAGGTATTAGGACCCAGCTGCTGCTGCTGCTTCCCCTTAGCTAGGGACAGACATTCAAAAAGCCTGAGCCTGAATAGGTTCAGTCTTTGGAGGTTAGTCTAACCCTGCTAAGCTAAATAAGTTTTGTAACCAAACAGACACCCCAGAAATGCAGGCACATGCCTGCAGTGGCCCAAACTAGAAGCTGGGGGGTGCTAGAGGTGCCCTCCCTTCCCTCCACAACACTGAGCTGAGGGGTGGGTGCATGGCCAGGCCCCAGCAGGATGCTCTGATTAGCCCAGCAGTGAATTGATAACAGTGTTTATCACCCCTAACTCAGTGTTTATCACCCCATTAAGAAAACAACAGAGGGACAGCCAAATCCAAATCCGAAGCAAAACAACAGAGGGAATCAGTTGAATCCAAAGCAAATACTTGCCACTTTGCTCAGGTCTACCTCTGGGCTCTGCCCATGGCATAGCACAGAATGGCATGAAACGGGTAGAGCTTCCCCTATGTTGGAGCCCCAGGTAGCTGACTATGACATGGTGCAGGGAGAGGCCCTTGCCACCAAAGCACAGGTCCATGGGCCAGATCCAAAAACACGATCACCAGATCTGGTCCAGGGGCCATAGGTTGCTGACTAAATGGCTCTCAAACATGCTTCGCAACTTCTTGGATAGGATACCTGATCCTTGAGCCAAGTGTTCCTGTTTGTCTTAGGATGTTATTATAATACGTTACAATTACCATGCACTTAAGGCACTTAAAATGAGAGTGACCCCAGGTTAAAGCTGGAAAACTATTGCTCAGTGCTCTCTGAGTGTCTCAAAGTTATGTCACTTCAGACAATGGTTATCTTTGGGTCATGGGCAGGGAAGGTTGTGTAGATGTGATATCTTTTATTAGATCAGCTGAGTAGTTGGGACAAAGTTCTTTGTAAGCTTTCAGGTGCAATACCATTCTTCAGGCACAAGGCGCCTCTGTTGTTCTGAGACTCCAAGAATGAAAGAAGCTAAAATTGTGACAGGATGTCAGTGAGAACATAAATACGTGGAAATTAGGAAAACAAAAGATAGACCAGGGAAGGGAGGGGAGCTCTATGAGTGATCGTGGTGCTTGGGCCAGGTGCCAGATGATTGGAAGGTAGCAAATGTGGTCCCCATCTTCAAGAAAGGGAAGAGGGAGGACCCGGGCAACTATAGGCCCGTCAGTCTTACCTCAATCCTGGGGAAACTCTTTGAGAAGATCATCAAGGAGCACATTTGTGATGGGCC